TTCCGCGACCTGCCCAACACACATCCGCGCGCAAGGGAGCTGGCGGAGCACTCGCTGCGAGTCCTCTTTCACGAGCCGCCAACCGCACACCCCAGGCAGTCCTTAGACACTCGCTGCAAACTTCTTTTGGCGAGCTGCGAAATGCCATTTTCAATTGATTTTCATGTGCACACTCGCTGCGAACCTATTTTGGCTACCTGCGAACTGTTGAATCATTAAATGTGTGTACACCTAGTATGTGTTTTTGGAGATACACTATATATATATTTTTTCCTTTGGATTTTGTGGATCCACTACTCATTATTTCATTTTTCCCTTTTGGGAACTAGCTTATGTTATGTTTTGCTCTCTAGATTAGGAGCTTATGCTATTTTTCGGGAGATTTTCCGGCAACTTTGGTTTCCTTCAAGTTTTGAGCTTTTGACTCTGTTTTTCATCGTCTACGCAATGGAAGGATGAGTATTTAGTTTTAAAGCTCTTTACTTAGGTTTTTGCTCTGTTTTTACTTATAATGTTTATTAGGGTAAATTTGGAGATTGATGATGGTTGCAAAGCCGAGACTTGATTGCTTGCTTGAGTAGATAGAGAAGTTAATTGCTTGTTGATCTCGTTTAAGGATTAAGACCCGATTAGGGCTTAATCACTTAGGGTTAGATGACTAGGGTTAGCAATCTAATGCTCATAGCTCGTTTATTCCTTATGTCGATTGATTATCATCTCGTTATGGTTATGACATGAGACTCCGATGATCTAGTTTGCTACTTTCTTGTGATTTGATCTTGTTCTTAGTTAATTACTCGTTTTCTAGTGCTCGTTTTGTGATAATCAAACCTCCAATCCAATTGCTTAGAATGTTTAGGACTTTATTTTCTCTTTTTGTGATTTGGACAATCAAGGAGTAATTGAAGCTCCGAATAGCCTTCCCTCGAGATCAACGCGAGTCGGGTAACTCGGTTATCCTTTACCCACACCAAAATTTTACTAAACAAAATGGCGCCGTTGTCGGGGAAGGCAAGTAGGACGCCTAATTTGCTATTTGGTTGTTCGTTTTTCTCGTGTTTCTCTCGATTTTTGTGATTTTTGCTTAATTTCCATATTTCTCTCTATTTCTCTTGATTTTCTAGGTAATTTTTGTTTTTGCTTGTTGTTCGCTAATTATTTTTGCTATCCGCAAGTGTACGGCGTAGCCATAGGTAGTGGCGAGCAAGGTCGTATTCCACAGAGATTGTAATTAAATTAATTAAGTACTAAAATAATAATGATTAAATATTATTTTTAGACTAACGAATGAGATGATTTTTAAACTATGAAATTAAACTAAGAACTAATTTACCTAATGAAATAAAAATAAAATAAGATGCAAAAGATAGATTCTAGGCTAAGCGTTCCTCTGAATTAAGTCATGAAACGTTTATATTCATACAAACCTTATTTAATTTTACTAATCGTAGAGATAATCGCTAAATTGATTTCAACCTTTCTCTCGAACAAGCAAATCGTAGATATTAATTGTTATCTATCTCCTCTCGGTCTCAAGATGAACAACTAACTCCCATAAATGTTCCTAGGATTTTCGTTCTCTCGCAAGATTCTATCAACCTCTCGGTCTGTTTAGTCTCCTACGTTATAAATTTCCCAATTCTAGCAATCAAT